AAAACATATACTGCAGATTGGAACTTTCCATTCTTTGCCTTGAAACGAGCATTGTTTTCTTTAGAATCGCTCTTTTATCGGATGCTACGAAGACAACTCAAAGACATGGAAAATACCTGCTCAGCATACATTTTACATGCAGCAATTTGTGAGGTTTTTCAACAGCGACCGCTGCAAGCAACTTTGCAATTCACTGCAGCTTTCTGTAGCAGTTCTAAGCCGGAAAGAAGCAACTTGCTCATGTTACAGAGCAATAACACGAATAATTTTATCAATTCAAGATTCGGCCTCCGATCCCAAGGCTTGCAACAATGCTGCTTATGTTACCGAACATGGAAAGTCTCGTTGTAAATTTGCAACGTTTCTGGACCCGAAAAAGCCAAAAATTCCTCGAGTTGCGTTAGTTACAGTGCCAGGGTCAGGCAACACGTGGACTAGAATGTTAGCCCAAAGTGCTACGGGAATTTTATCGGGAAGTGTTTTCAACGCGATGCAGTGTTACGATCAAGGGTTATACGGAGAGTTGACTTATTGGAGAGATAAGACTACTTCAGTCGTTAAGAATCATGATGTGACGTGTAAGTATAGCTATTTAACTTTTAAAGCATCTTCCCATGATAACCAGCTCAGGAAATATTAGCCGAAAAATGAAATAGAAATATTCTGTCGAAGGCTAGGTGAGTTAGGTTCGAAGTGTAACTCATAGAGTAATTTCAGATAGGGTACACCGTCTGCTCGTCACGCTATCTTATTTTCGGCCGGATAGATTCGTGCAACTTCTTAGTCTAATACCGATCCTAATCTTACTCTTATACTATCTAGTCTCAGGTTGTTTAACTAGTCTCTGCTAGGCTCAATAGATCTAGGGTATACTGGTTTATTGCGGCTGCTGAAGTGCTCGGGAGAGTCCAACTAATTTCTAAGTTAAATTCAAATCTCTCTGGTGCTGAAATTACAAGTAACTTCAGCACTTACAAATAAGTGGGTTGTTAGTTAGATGGATCATGATTGGTTAATATTAAATACTTTACATTGGTAAAACATTTAATTTATCCAATCATAAAATGTAGTTTAGATCAGGTTCCACCCATCCGGGTTTTACAGAGTTTTTTAGAATAGTTCTTCTGCAATTCGAAGGATGGATGATGGACGTTGGTGTTTGGCGAACATCTTACTTTTTCTGTTTCCTTTTTGTTAAAGAAGATCCAGGAAGCTGGAGTTAGAGACATAAGACGTTGTGTCTTCTAGTGACAACGACTAAGTCTTTGCAACAAACTCAAATCTGATTTCAGAATGGTTTGCTATGTCAGGTTTTTCTGTTCTGCGTGGAGAACTTCTTTTGTGTCTGATCTAGTTTGGGAATGGCGTGGAGATTGTGTGTGGAGGGGATGCCTGGTTACTCGGATCTGTACGTATACTTGAACATCGAGGTGGTCATTGGTCTAGTTCAATGAAGTCCTTTTCTGCGAAGTCAAGTCGTACTCTAAATCCTTTGAGTTGTGATTGTGAGTGGCATATCGATTGTGGTTGGTCATTCTCTCTCGAGCGTAGTGGGGTCGTTTTGTCTTTAGATGTTCGTCCTTGGTGTTGTATTCTGATCTATGTATTGCATCATGTGATTTTACATTTTATAAAACTTTTATTAGTTTAATATTTTTTAATTATGATTTTAGTTAGTTGTTTTCACAAAAGCTTTTTGTTTTAGTTCGGTTATTTTGAAGAGTTACTCACACTTGAGTAGCTCTTATTAAAAATAAAGGTGTGGTCACAAAGCGTGGATGTAGCGCGGTGGGTTAGGCCGGCTATAGAGCATGCTCAGGACGTCCTTCCTGGTGGGTTAGGCCAGGAGTGGGAGTATGATTTCATGCGGTTTTTGTGAGGGGTCCTGTTATGTGACAACGTTTTATGTTGGGTTTGTTGTGGTTTTTCTTATGTCTTGTTGGTTATGTCCTTTTTCCAAAAATCAAATTGTTTGTGGTATGGGTTTGTCTTTCGACTTTTTTGTGTTTTATTATTTCTTTCTTAGACTTTATAATAGTCTTCAAAAGAATAAATTATCCAGTTTTAAACTGGGTTAATCCGGTTTGGGTACCGTTGGTTTCCTTTTCTTAGTCATGCTGTTATTCTATGATTTGTTGTATTTAGTAAGCTGCGTTGGTTAGTTTTGTTTAGTATATGATTCCTTTCCAACCGGGTTAAAGGAAAGTTTGAAACATGTTATTATATGTTAGAGTTGTTGAGTGTGAAAACTTGAAACTGAAATTCATTATTTTAAACAATTCTTCGTGGGCGAGCTGTGCGAGTATGGATAGAATTTCTGTGCGAATGAATGAGAATATCAAAAGGTTAGTACTGCAATTGCATTTTATTAATTTACTGCATAGAATTTGGAAATTTACTGCTAGTTATGGGGGAATTTTAAGTTACAAATTTTCATTATAATTAGATTTACTGCTTGTGGGGGAAATTTTAGAAATGAATTTACAGCATTGGTATTAAATTTATAAATTTATAAGTGTAAGAGATTAATAGAATTTTTGAAATCTGTTTGATGAAATTTGCGATTTTTATTTGTCTTTTGTGGTTTTTGTAGGTGATCGTCGGATGAAGGCTAAAAATCTAAAGAAAACATGAATAAAGTATGGTGAGTTTTTAATATTTCAATTAGTTAGTTATATTCATTTAATTCATACTTACCTGTTAGTCGTCGGGGAAAAAACCGTGGGGGAAGATGTCGTGAATTAGTTCTGAAGTTGTTAGTAGTTTAGCTAAGATGCGGATGATATTTTTAGTCTGAAGCAGTGGCCAAAGCAATTGGAGTGCCTTGATAGTGGTTAGTTCTTCAGTGCCAACTGCAAACTCATAAGGTGTGTTTTGGATTAGATTATATAATTTGTGATTGAATTTAGTGTTGTGGATGAATTCTAAAATTGGGATTTCTATAGGTTGTACAAACTCGTGCGGGATAAGGAAGGGTCGGGATTCTTCGGCGTTGAAGGTCTTGGTGATGGGACAGAAGATGTACATTTGGGTTATGGGGTCATAATTACGAAGAATACCATGGAGGTTAGTGTCTTTAATACAATATGTGAAATTTAGGAAAAATGGTGAAGTGTATTTGGAATTAATGAATTGAAAACGATGGTGTGGTTGTCTAGAGGGTGTGTGTAGGTCAAAGTGATTTTGGATGAAGCGATAATAACTATATGTGTGGGTTTGTTTAGTGCGCAACATAATATCGTGTGAGCAGTGTAAATCTCTTTCGTGTGGTGCAAGGAAATGAAAGGTTAGTGAAAATATTTGGAAGCGTTCTTTAAAACTTTCGTATGCTTGTGTGTCTGTTAGTGCTTCTGAAATAATGTGATCAAACTTTCGGTCGAAGATGTTTAGTGTAAATATATATGGTGTCTTGATGAAAAATTTCTCGGTAATTTGTGGATTAGCGAAGCGATCGTCGTCTAAGAATTGATCTTGGTTAGCTCTGATGATGTTGTGATCATAGTATTCGAGTGTATATTCGTTAGCTCTAGGTGCAGTGTGTGTTTTTAGTGATTTTTTATATCCAACGTAAGTAAATTGTCTAGCGGTTAGTGGTGTAGTGAGTCGATATAGCATGTCCGTATTTCGCTCTATATCGATGTGAGTGTTAGATAAAGGTAAGCAAAGAGGGTTAGTAAAATGATAATATGAGGTCCAAGAGAGAGTGGGCATTAAAACGTATTCATCTACAAAGTTGCGTGTTTCGTTAGTGTCGTGGGGGGTGTTTAAGGTGTATTGTGGGAATGAGGGTAAGGTGATGGCTAAAAATTCTTTTGTGTTAGTATGCTTGGGGTGGTTGATGTATTCACGGGCTGTTCCTGGTTTTGCTGGGAAAGGATGGTTGGGGAACTTTCTTTTAAAAGTGCGGTAAGCTCTATTAGTGTTGAGTGAAGATTCAGTTGATGTGGATGATGGTGCTAATGATTCAGTATAATTTGAAGAGGGTCTGTAATGGGAAATCGGAAAGATGATGGAGGGCTAGATTTAGGGGGGAGGGAAGACGACGACGCTTCCACCATTTCCTTAAATATTCGACCGCCTGACGACCCAAAGGGTCCCAGTTTTGGTACTAATTTACGACTTAATTTTTTGACCTTCCGACCTTTGGGCGTCGATACTTACTAAATTTCATTGCAAGACGCAAAAGGAGACTTTTTGGTCGAAACATTTCAAACAAGGCCAAAAACGAAATTTTTGCCCTTTTTTCAGAAAAAAAATCTTTATAGAGCGAGCGTGGAATATCCGCCCCTCAGATGATGCATGACGTTTTTCAGTAGTTTATGCAAATGTTCCATTCAGATATTGCTGAGAAGAGCTTAGATAACAGTAACAGACGAAAAAAATTGGCCACGTTACATGAAGGCTAATCGGTGGAAGGGTGAAAAACTTTAGGTGCAAATAACATATAATAATTTACTGGCTTTTTGTTTTAGCAAATTTCCTTTCGACCATGAAAAAAATCATGTTTGTCGTCCGCAGTCCCCTCAAGAGCTCTATAGCAGAGTATAATCGAGACTCTTTCACTAGTCAGACTGGCAGGTTCCAAGACGTCAACTCTTTTCTGTTGGCAGCTCGAAAAGGGCGGAGTTACAAGAATTTCAAATCACTGTTTGAAGCGAGCTTGAAAAAACTAGACTTTTTGCCCAATTTGCAGTCAACGCTCAAAAACCAATGCTTTTTATTTCCTATGAAGATATAGCAGACAATATGTTGATACAGATTCTGCGAATCATCCATTTCTTGGAACTGGACGACGACTATGAAACTCACGATCGAGTTTTTTGTACAGTATTAAGCCAAGCAGAAACAAGACAAAAGATGAAGCGCCACTATAAAGTAGATTTTTCAAAAGTCGCAGCTACTTTAATCAACACAACTTCTGCGAAATATAAACTGACAGTTATTAATGAACACTTATTGCAATCAAAGCTACACTACCTAAGACTACCATACTTCTCAAGAAAGTGAAGGAAATATTTTGCCGGCTAGGGTTTTTCCATCAGACAAAATTTTAAACTTTGATGAGTTTTTCGAAATGTTATTTTGTCGGAGGGGTGGGATGGTTTTCAAAAAGTTATGCTGCAAATTTTTTTTTTCGCCAAAATTGATTTTTATATGATCTTGAATATAAATTTTTATATGATCTTGAATATACGTTTTGCAATTTTTGAAAATCGTTTTGGTCGAGGAAAATTTTCAGTAGATCGCGTTGGTCACAGATGCATCCGCCTGATCTGCAGATTTGGTAACACCGAAAATCGGTCATGTTAATCGGTTGTCAGGGTTGTCTCGAGATCCTGAAATTCGACCACGACATACTGAAGTTTTGGCCTCGGCCCAGGCTGTTCAATGATTTTTTTCAAAACACAAACAAATATTGTAGAACTTGAAACAAATGTATAAAAAGATCATATGGCTGCAATTTTCAATGAAATCATCAGGCATCCTATAGCAGAACTTAATTACTTTGAAAAATGTTCGGATCATTTTTTAAAATCTGGTTACACTCAAATATGATGCCAATTTTGCATGAATAGAAAATTGAAACCGTCTTCGAAACCTTTCTCGACCAATAAAATAAAGAAGTTATTGATCAGCTGCTAAAAACATCTCCACTCAGTGGAGATGTTTCTCCAAACAATTTTCACTAAGGTGAAGCACAGGAGCTCGCGAATCGAAAATTCTCAATTTACTACTAGTAAGATACAAAAGGGCTGCACAGGTTTTTAGGTCCGAGAATGAAAACATTTTACAACTTTTTATCTTCAAACAAACTGCTGCCAATTTAAAACAATTAAAGACAACCGAAATTAAAAATTGCAGGTTAATAGTTAAGAACTGTTTTCTAACAGATAATTTCAATTTACTTGAAATCATTTTTTCATAATTGTTAGTATTTTGATGCTGGCGTGTTTTCAAGGGTCTCGCCTCGATGAGCCATAGGGCTCGTACTCAATCCTTGTGACTTTAATACTGTACAGAAAAACTTTCTCACTAAAAAATTCAAATTCAATTCAAATAGATCTCTTGCTTTTATGTAAGAAGGATATTTTTCCCCAAGTTTCGCTTGCAAATTATGTTTTGGGTTTCAAGCCTCCAGCCCAAGGTACAAGATTTGTTTAACTACAAAAATGTATTGTTATTAGTTAATATCCTGTAATACTAGAACTGGAGAGTCGATTCTTTTTTATTCAACAGTCATCTTTTTAGAGAGATTCGTCAATTGCTGTTATAATTTGTATTCTTTGGTTCCATTGTCAAAATAATTCTGTGGTGCTTAAAAAATATCTTTAGTTTCAGGGAAATTTTAGTTTCAATGCGGTGGCTAAGAATTTTCAGTGTTTCCGAGTATTGGGTGTTTAAAATCTTAAAGCAAAAAAACAAAATCGCCGGTAAAATTAAATTGTCAGTCACTGATTATCAATATGTCGCTTCGTTGCCTTTTTGCCTTAACTACTTGAAAAACCTCAAAAATAAATAATCCTTTTGCAAAAATTTTTGTCAGCACCGTTTAATTTTTATCGGTTTAAAAAACTTTTTTTGTTGGCTCAAATATATCAGATAAGGAGCGTACTAAAAGAATCCCCATACGGACCATTGTGTAAGTGCAAGCAACGTTTCTCGCAAAAATGGCTCTTTTCCACTCCCCCCTATATTTGAATTTCAGTTTTGAAAAACTAATTTTATGTTGGCACATTATAAAGAAACTTTTCATAACTTACTTTGCAACTTCACGCGTTCAGTCAGAAAAATGGTTAAAGCAATTGAGAAAATGGAAAATCTGAAAGGGGGGAAATGGAAAAGAGCCTGCAAAAAATTTGAAACTCTTTTCATTTGAGGGCTGTTCCTGAAGCTTTTCAATCAAATTGTTTTTGCACTAATAAACAAAGAAACTTCTCAGTTCTTGACTAGCCCTCTTCAGTCAACGCGCAGTAAAAAAAATAAAAATTGTAGCTACAATTTGACGGTTCTTTTTCGCTCTCCGTCATTCCGCATTATCAATTTTCCTCACTGTCTTACGTGTCAGTGTTGCTGAATTATGTAAAGTACAAAAACAAATTTGTTTCCAATTGTTAGTTCAACCACTGGGCCAAATTTTCTTTGCATTGTAACAAATTGAAATTAAAAGGTATGGAAAGGAGAGAAAAGTCAAGTATACTTATTATTCTAAAGTGTTTGATAGGATAATCCATTCTCCTTCATTCAAGTTTCTTTTTTATTCAAGAAAACTTGTTAATGGATACTTAAGTTTCGCATAACTGATTTGTGACGCCTCTCTAAAACAAATGTGCAAGCTAGTATAATTTAAACATATGATAATAAATTCAAATTCAACAACCGATCAAGTTTTTTTGTCTTAGAAAAGTTCGGTAATCTTATTTGGGGCATTAACTGAAAGCAAAAATGAAGTAAATACAACACGTGTATAATTACTGCATTTTCATGAAAAAGAATTGCAAAACAGATATATAGGTCAACTGAACCATTTTTCGCCCGTTTTCTCCGCTTTAAAAAAAAAACAGTTAAAAGTTTATGCACCATGCTTTGCTCTTGATAGTGAGTTATGTATAGGTTATTGTACTCATAGAGTAATTGCAGATAAGGTACACCGTCTGCTCGTCACGCTATCTTATTTTCGGCCGGATAGATTCGTGCTACTTCTTAGTCTAATACTAATCTTAATCTTACTCTTATATCTCTTAAACTCAATAGATCTATTGTACACCGGTTTGCGCGAGTTAGTTCCAGAATGAGGACAACTGTATTCTAAGGTTAATTCAAGTTGTTCTGGTGTTGAAACTACAAGTAGTTTCAACACTTTACAAATAAGTGGGGTATTAGTTTGATGGAGTATGATTGGTTAGTATTTAATATTTTATAGAGATAAAACATCATAATAATAACCAATGATATAAATCAAGTTTAGATCTTTTCCACCCATCCGGGGTTTAGAGAGTTTTAGTTTTTGTTCTTTTATGTCCATTTGCGATGGAGGATGGATGAACTTCGCTGAATGTCGCGAGCATCATTTCTGTTCCGTTCTTGGAGAAGGAAGCTGCAAGAAGCTGGAATGGTTGATATCAGTTTGTCATTCAACAATGACTCTGACCGCAAACAAAGTCAATCTGATTTCCAAATGGTTTGTAATAATCGGTTGGGCTTGTTTGGTAGAAAACTGGGTTCCGATCTTGTTTGGAAAGGCGTGGAGTTTGAGCTTAGATGCAATGCCTGGTGACTTGGATCTGTACGTATACCTGAACATCGAGATGGTCATTGTTCTCTTGCAACTGATCTTTTCTGCGATGCCAATTTGTACTTTAAATCCATTTAGTGTAGTGATTGTAGGCAGCTTGTCAGGTGGTTTTTACCATTCCGTAATTGGAGTTAGGTTGTCAAATTTCCTGCTAATCGTCTTTGGGCTGTGTATAATCTATATACTGCATTATATTTTTTACATATGCAAATCTTTGTTAATCGTGTTTTTTAGTTATGATTTTGTATTAGTTTTTATCGCAAAAGCGTTATTATTTAGTTCGGTTATTTTTAAGAGCTACTCTTACTTGAGGAACCCCCCTCACAATTAGTGTCATCGGTGTCACAAAGCGTGGATGTAGCACGGTGGGTGAGGCCGGCTATAGAGCATGCTCAGGACGTCTTTTTCTGGTGGGTTAGGCCAGAAGTGAGGGTATAATTTCGTGCTCTCTTTTTGGAGGGTCATGTGTTAGTTCAACTGCCATTTTTTATTACTAGTGCTTTCTTTTGTTGTCTTAGTTCTGTCCTTTCTTCAAAATCAAATGATTTGTTTTGGTTTTGTCTTTCGACCTTTTGGTGTTTTGTTTTTTGTGTTCAGACTTAAAAAGAGTCTTTAAAAGATTAATTTAACCGGTTCTAAGCTGGTGTTAACCCAGTTTGGGTACTGTGGTTTTCCTTTTCTGAGTCATGCTGTTAGGTTGTGGGTTATGAAATTCAGTAAACTTGCGTTGGTTAGTTTGGATTATTATATAAATCCTTTCCAACCGGGTTAAAGGAAAGTTTGAAACGTGTTGATACTTGTTAGAGTTGTGATCAGTGAGAGTTGAAACTGTTTTTTGAATTTATTAATAAAATATTGAATTCATTTTACCAAATCGTCGTTGAAGAAGTCATGAGGAAAAACATTGTGGATCATATCAGATGAGGTTATTAGTTTAGCTAATAAACGAATGATGTTTTTAGTCTGCAAAAGTGGCCAAAGCAAATCAAGTGCTTTAATGATGTTACGTTCTTCACTGTTAGGTGATTGTTCATACGGTGTGTTTTGAATTAGGTTATATAATTTGTAGTTATAGTGAGTTTATATATGAATTCTAGGGTTGGGACTTCGACAGGCTGGAGGAATTCATGAGGGATGATCATTGGGCGAGGTTCGTCTACGTTTATGAATCTGTTTAGTGGGCAGTAGATATACATCTGGGTGATGGGATCATAATTTTGGAGGGTGCCTTGTAAGCTAGTGTCTTTAATACAATAGGTGAAGTTAAGAAAAAATGGTGAAGTTGTCGTGCTGGTGTTTTGTGAATGCAATGACTTTCAATGAATTTATAATAAGTGTACGTATGTGTTTGTTTAGTTGGTAACATGATTTCATGTGAACAGTGCAGATTTCGTTCTCTTGGTGTGAAGAAAGGAAAGGTTAGTGAAAAAAGTTGAATTTGTTAAAGCATGATTCGTAAGCATTAGTATTACGTAGTGCTGCGGAGATGACTTTGTCATATTTTTTATCTAACATGTTGAGGGTGAAGTTGTATGAAGTTTTTGTGAAAAATTTCTCGGTTAATTGAGGGTTAGTATTTGGGTCGCCAAGTAGACAAATGTCTTCATTTGGGCGGATGATATTACGATCGTAGTAATCGATGGAGTGAGTATTAGCTTTAGGTGCAGTGAATTTGTTTACGGATTGTTGGTATCCTACTTGCGTGAA